CTTCCCACTGGACAGCCGCAGACGTGCCGGACCTCTGCCCGGCGAGCCTCCTGCTCAGGTCTGGCCTCCTCAGCAAGCCTCCCCCGCTCCCGCTCCTGCAACCGGGCCCAGGTGCTCCTCGGCAGAGTGAGGAACCGCACGCCAGGCTGGATTCCCAACACCCAGCCCACCCCACGCCTGCAGCCTCGGCCCAGGAAGGAGAAACGAGCCCCAGGAAAGGGTCGTCCCCACGTGCCTCAGAGAAGACCAAATCAGAGTCTGGAAGTGACCGGCGGGAGGCGGGGAAGGACAGGGTGGGGTTAGTCTGCAAACACTTTTTCCCTCACCAAGTGAGTTTTAATCCAGATTGTGAAGGAGTGGTCAGGAGGAACAGAGACGCCTTCCAAGTGAGCTCAGTGTGCGCCTGAGCATCAAACGGACAGGCAGCAGGCCAGGGCACCGAGAGCCCCCGAGCCATCCCCAGGTCCCCCTGTCTAGTGAGCTGCTCGGCACCAATGACACAGATCTGTGAGCGCTGAGCCCCCGTCTGACTTGCTAACTCGACACTCAGCACGGAGGAGGGACTCGGTGACACTGGTGAAGGGAAGGAAGGAAAGGAGGGAGGGAGGGAGGGAGGGAGGGAGGGAGGAAGGGAGGAAGGAAGGAAGGAAGGAAGGAAGGAAGGAAGGAAGGAAGGAAGGAAGGAAGGAAGGAAGGAAGGAACTCACCCGCTAACGGGGCGGCAGGAGAGGCCTGCTGTGGGCTGAGGAGCTCGGGCGGAGGCCGCAGAGGCCCCCAGTTGTTGAACGGTTCACACTCCTGTCCCTCCTCACTTCCCTCCTCCTGCCCCCTCACCTCCAACAGTCCCTGCGTTACGGGTGGGGGTCACACCGGACTCCACGGCCTCTCCTCCTCCCCACTCGCCCTGCAGCCCGGCTCGGCTGCCGTGCCCAACCCCACCCCTTCCTCACCGACCCTGGGTTCACCTGGACCCAGTGCCAGCAGGTCCAGGCTGAGGACGCCTCCGCTGGCACCAAACCCCAAGCCTGTTCCAGACGGTCCCCTTTTGGATCCTGTCCGCAGCTTCCAGCAGGCTCCTCCCAGGCGGAGCTGGCCTCTAACCCTCCCGTCCCCAGTCATACCCTCTCCCAGAGCCCTCAAACCAGAGGGGCCTGGTTCACAGCGCACCTGCTTCACAGACGGGCAGGTGTGACGTGCTCCGGGTCCCAGAGCCCTCCTGCTCACACACACAGCTGGTCATGACAGGACTGATACTTTAAGGCAACGCCTGGCGTTTTGTAGCACTTAACAAGGACCACAGAGGGACACGCTTGTGTGGTCACTTTATGGGGTCAGACACTGACAGCGGCGTGACTCTGTGGCACCGCCCACTCTGGGTGTCCACCCCACGCCGTGGGCACAACCCCCGGGACCAGGAGCAGCTGACCCCCACCCTGGCTCACAGGCGCTGTTAAGAGCACGGCAGTTAAACAACCTGAGCAGCCGCTTCAGAGGAGGAAATGTGTGGTCACCCCTCAAGCTGTCTTCACAACACAATACTCTGCAAGAAATACCAGCCATATTCAAACGGGTCTTGTGATCCCTGACTTTTTTCTTACTACTTTATGTGGGGGATGAAGTAAACAGAAGGTGCTAGACATACGTCTTGCAATGAGGACATTAGCTATTTGTGAATTTGGGTTCTAGTTCCCTTATTCTCAACAGCTATGAAGGTCTATCTTTGCAAATTATTCTTTTGTGTTGAAACCAGGTCTTTATCTATCCAAACACAGAAGACAACGTAGGATGGAATTTGAGGCAGGCATGCTCTCAGAGGCCAGGCTGGAATGGAAGCCAGGCAGAACAGATGAACAGACGACAAGGTCACCTCACTTTCTAATACTTGATTGACTAACACAAAGCTGCACTCAGTGAACAGTGTCTTACTCTGAAGACACGGAGTCTAGAAAAAAAACTGTAGGCAATTATGTGACTGTGCCGGCTTCCTGCTGGATGCTCATTCCAGCTTTTCCTTGCTTAAGCATCTTGGCTTTGATGGTGGCCACATGCTCAGCAAAAACATTAACACTCGGTTCTTCTGACTCAGCCGGAAGCCCACGTGACACAGCTCTAGCTAAGCGTGCAGAGGCCGGGCGTTTCTGGGAAAGTTTCTCCTTTTAGATGTGGAGGCAGCTGGCATGAGTAGGAAAGATAGCGTGCTCTGAGGATGGAGAACAGAAAGTCAGAGACAGCCGGGTAACTCGATGGCACAAGTGATTAATGTGTTTCCCTGAGAATAAGAACTGCCCATGATAAATAAAATAAGCCCTAGCAGGATGTCTAAGCATTTGCGAAATAGAAGCCCTACCCTGAAAATCAGCCCTAGTGACGGGCGTGTCTGCGCAGCGTCTGCACAACCCGTGCGTGTGGTCGCGGAGCGGGAAAGAACACGAGCAGCCCTTCCCATCCGCCCGTGAGAGCTCTGTGGCTCCACAGGAGAGATCGGGGCTGGTGGTTCTAAAGGAAACAGAGTCACAAGACATTCAGGACGGGATTCGGGGTCTGGAGAGTGAGGATGATGTTCCAGAAGAAGACAACTATATTTGAATAAATGTAGATTATTGTACTGTACTTTAAAAAAATAACACATCCCCTGAAAATAAGCCCTAGGGTGTCTTCTTGAGGAAAAAAATATATAAGACTCTGTCTTGTTTTCGGAGAAACATGGTAGCTATGCCAGCCACAGATCATCTACCACGTAAGACAGTAAGTCCCTATGGGTCAGGTTCCTGTTACTTGCGGCAGACCCTAACCCTAACCCGTTCAAAGAGACACCACCTTCCACCTGGCTCCTCACACCTGACGGCGCAGCGCCCCACTGAACCCTGGCTCCGACTCTAGACCGGGGTATGCTCCGGGCTTGGCTGTGCCCCAACCCACTTCCACCTGCCGTCCTGGCCAACTCTGCCATCCTCCTGGCCTCAGCTTAGAAGCCACTTCCTCAGAGAGGTCCCCGACCGCCAGGAGCTACACCCAGCCCACTCGCAGGCCCCGGCAGCCACGCTGCCCCGTCCCTCACTCTCTCTGCAAGACTGCCTTGCTGGACGGGAAGGACCAAGCCCTCTCGGGCGCCTAACGTGGCGGCACAAACTCGTAGACGCCAGGCGGCACCTGCTCTCAACCCCAGACTCACGTCCCAGCCGAAGCAGGAGAACCCGGCGCGGGTCCAGGTGTCTTCTCCCGCCCCGGCCGCGGCGTTTTGACTCAAAAGGAGGAAGGAGGCGTGTTAGGGAGAGACTGCAGGGCTCAGTGCTGCTTCTCTGCCTCCTTCAGCATGACCTCCCCGAGTCTCCGTGAGAGAAGCGCCTAGTGTCCCCGGAATAAAGCGTCTCCGGCGCCTAAGGCGACGGATCCTGAACTAAATATAAAGGGGGCCGGGCGTGGTGGCTCACGCCTGTAATCCCAGCACTCTGGGAGGCTGAGGCGGGCAGATCGCTCAAGCTCAGGAGTTCGAGACCAGCCAGAGCAAGAGTGAGACCCCGTCTCTACTAAAAACAGAAAGAAATGAATTGGCTAACTAAAAATATGTAGAAAAAATGAGCCGGGTGCGGTGGCGCACGCCTGTTATCCTAGCACTCTGGGAGGCTGAGGCGGGAGGATCATTTGAGCTTAGGAGTTTGAGACCAGCCTGAGCAAGAGGGAGACCCCATCTCTACTGAAGATAGAAAGAAATCAGCTGGACAACTAAAAATATATAGAAAAAATGAGCCGGGCATGGTGGCGCATGTCTGTAGTCCCAGCTACTTGGGAGGCTGAGGCAGGAGTTTGAGGTTGCTGTGAGCTAGGCTGATGCCATGGCACTGTAACCCGGGCAAAGAGTAAGACTTTGTCAATCAATCAACCAATTAATCAATCAATAGATAACTAAACATAAAGGGGACACAAACTTGGAAGGAAAGTGTTCGTTGAGATGCCCAGACAGCCATGAGAATGACCTAAGGATGCTCGCAGAACATACAACAGGTACAAAGCATGTGTGGTGACTTCCCACTGACCAGAGGGAGAACCTGCTGAAAAATACCGAGACTAGTACAAGACCAGCAAATCTGGAGAAGAAAAACCACAGTCTGGGAAGGCATTTGTTTCTGGAACAGATCAGCTGCGCACGTGCCAACACCATCCTTGCCGTGACGGGGACCTGGGTGCAGCCTGAGCACCCTGAGCAGAGGGTCCCAGGGCTCCACGACGTGCAGACTGCACCTCTGCACGAAAGAGTGAGAACTGACCCCAACTGGCTTAAATTTTAATGCACACTCCTTCGTGTCCTTAAAAATGCCAGTGTAACGGCCCGGCCTTCTTAGATCTTACTGCAGGGGCCAGGGGCTTGTCTCTTTCTGGGCCTCTTCTCCTGTCTGGGGGGGGGGGGTCACAAAAACAATCCCAACCCAGCGGTCTCCGCGGTGGCCGGATGGCCAGCACGTACTTGCTGTCCCGTTCGTTCTAAAGGGCTCTATACAACCAGTCATGAGCAGATCGTGGCGTTTTAGTTTTTGATACTCCAACATTCAACCACATTATCTCCACACCGCCAATGGCCAGAGACTGACTGCCACGAGTTACGGAAATGCCAGGAATCCAGAAGACAACGAAATCAGCGTTGGAGAGTTAAAGTCTTCCTACGAAACCCAGAGAATCACAAGCAGGATGTTCTGAGAACACCTTCCCAGGTTTGCAGACACCTGCGATCCGAGCAGCTCTGCAGGCGTGGGCGTGCAGGCACGAGTCCTCGTCTTCGGGGATGGCAGAGAGCAGGTGGCCCTGCAGCCAGAACTGGAGTCACAACCCACGACTGACCACGACTCGTGCGTAGAGCTCTTGGTCACTACGACACGCTGCCCGCTCACAAGGGCTCCTCGCTATTAGTCTCTTCTGAATCCACTTTCACTCACTGCTAAGCTGAACTTCTGCGTGAAACGGCTGCACGCAAAGGAGTGAGGCAGGCCCGCCCCTCTCCGACTTACCTGTGCTGTCTCTGGCCACAAGCCCCTTGGGAAGGTCCCCCGGAGTCGGGGACGCCCGGCTGTCCCACTTGACCATGTCCAGGTTGTTGCAATACTCCCAGCGCTTCTGCTGGAGCTCCTGCAGCCAGTAAGTCATGAGCTGGCGATTGGGAGCCTGGAAGAGGGAGGGAAACATGTGATGGCACCAGTGACACGAGGAGCTTGAAACACACTGTTCTGTGAGCCCGGCTGCACGGCTTGCCGCGGGGAGGGAGAGGTGGGCGAACCGATCAAGGGAATCTTACAAGATCACAGCATTTGCTCAGTACAAGCCGGGTCGAGCAAACAGCAATTCTAACACAAAGAATTTAACCAAATTAAGAGGAAATCTGTTTAAATTCTAAAATTAGAAAATGAAACAGTGTAACATTTTCTTCAGAAAGTTTTAAGGCACGGTGGCTCACGCCTGTAACTCCGGCACTCTGGGAGGCCGAGGCGGGACAATGGCTTGAGGTCAGGATTTCAAGGCCAGCCTGGGCGATAGCGAGACCCTGTCTTTACAAAAAATAGAAAAATTCGCCGGGCGTGGTGGCACATGCCTGTAGCCCCAGCTACTCGGGAGGCTGAGGCAGGAGGATCATTTGAGCCCAGGAGTTTGAGGTTGCTGTGAGCTATGATGGCACCACTGCATTCAACCCCAGGGCAGGGAATAGGGCAAGATTCAGTGTCAAAAAAAAAGAAAAAGAACGAAAAAAGTTTTAGGAAGGTTTGATAATTCTGCTGCTCTTTCACTCTGAACACCTACAAATTCCTCCTCAAGAAATCAATTCTTACATGGGCGTGGAAGGCAGCCTTAACAAATCATTTGCAACAATGATACTTAAACTCCGTCAGCATCCAAAAGAGTGCACACACAAAACTGCAGATTAAAAACTAGATTATATACCTCACTAGAATGGCTAATATTTTAAAAAGTCACCGCAAGTGCTGACCAGGGTGCAGAGCAGCCAGGGCTGTCGCGAGCTGCTGGTGGCACACAGGACCGCGCAGCTGCCTCAGGGGACTGCCTGGCAGGTCTTCGTGAAGCTCAATGTGCACCCACCCAGTGACCTGGCAGCCCCTCTCCTACACAGTCACCCGAGAGGAATGAAAACATATATTCGCCAAGAAACCTGCATGCAAACGCTTATAGAAGATTTATTCATAAGCACCAAAAAGTGAAAACACCATAAAATGTACTCCAGCCGATGAAGAATAAACCGGGCACATCATCCGCACCATGAAGGCTATTCCACAGCATAGAGGAACAAACTACCGACTCACACAAGAGGATAATGCGTGCTCAAATGCACGCCGCTAAGCGAAAGCAGCCAGGCCCAAAAGGCCATGTGCCATAGGGTTCCATTTACGTGACATTCTGACAAGGCAAAATTTTAACACAGAAAACAGATGTGTGGTTGGCAGGGCTTGGGGGTGAGGGGGCCGCACATGAGAGGTTTTGGGTGATGAAATTTTTGTTCCACCCCGTGACTTTGGTGGTTGATTCCTGATTCTCCACATTTGTCCAAACCCACAGAACTGTGTACAGCAGAGGGAGGAGGACGGCGGGTGGGGAGCGCAGAGGTGGACCACGAACGAGCCTGGCTGTAGACAGACCAGAGCAGGTGCGGGTGACAGGTCTCCAGGCTGCCCCTGCAAAGGGGCCCCGGAAGGAGGAGGGCTGCCACGGCATGCTCATGAGAACGCCATCAACACTGGCACCCAGCGAGGGTGCGCACGGCTACACGGTGGCTCCCAGGACCAGCGGCAGCGGAGAAAACTGCTCTGCAGGCCCGCAGCAAGCGACAGGCCTGGGGACCACACTGCTACCGTCTGCAGGGAAAGGAGAACCTCAGGTGCTGTGGCCGCAAGCAGGGTCTTTCCACGACACAGGCACGCCAGGCCCCAGGCACAGGAAACCCACTACAGGGTCTTTGGGTGCTTTACAGAAAATTCTTCCAACCATTAACCAAGCCGCCGGTGCATCCATTCATTCAACCAACACTTACTGAGCACCTGTCAGGTACCTGGAATTGGGGCTTGGCCAAGTGAAGAAGACAGAAACACAAACCAGTACTTTCCACGAGGTACAGAGGGCTCCGGCAGGCGGCAGGCAGGTGAGGCGGGGCTGGCTGGCTGGACCGCACTGCGGAAGGACACCTGGCCAAGCAGGGGCGGTGTGGCAAGGGGCAAGGTCCTCAAAGTTTAGGACACCTGCCACCTGCAGGTCCAAAAGCTTCCAAGTATTGGCTGAATTTCTACCTTCTCCAATAAAACCTCAAGGTGTTTCCTCTTCTCCAGCACCTAGCACAGTGCCAGGCAACAGCAGGTCAGCATTCACGGAACAAACAAGCGAAGGAATAAATGACGGATAGTCAGGAGGTGACGCAGCAGCTGGGTCTGAAAGGGGAAGCAGGCAGCAGCCAGAGGAAAAGGGAGAGGAAGGGGTTCCGGGGAGAGAGGAAGGGGTTCCAGGGGGAGAGGAAGGGGTTCCGGGGGGAGAGGAAGGGGTTCCGGGAAGAGAGGAAGGGGTTCCAGGGGGAGACGAAGGGGTTCCTGGGGGAGAGGAAGGGGTTCCCCCTGGGGAGAGAGGAAGGGGTTCCGGGGGGAGAGGAAGGGGTTCTGGGGAGACAGGAAGGGGTTCCGGGGGGAGAGGAAGGGGTTCCAGGGGGAGAGGAAGGGGTTCCGGGAGAGAGGAGTGTCTGGGAAACTCCTCGGGCCAGACAGCGTGAGCACAGGGAGGCTGGGGTGGTGGGACCAGCCGGGAAGGGACTTGGGTGCCTGAAGAGGTGGGAGGGGACAGAGACCTCACAGGGCAGCGACCTGATTAGACAACGTCCCTGTGAGATGGGGGGAGGGAGGCGCAGGGGGTGCCAGGAGGAGGAGACGGGTGGAGGCCAGACCCAGAGCCCACTCGAGAGAACCAGGAACCGCAGCCTCAGTGTGGGCAGCAGGTGGGTCACAGGTGGATGCCGGGGCGCAGGTGGCCCTGGGGCCAGCACAGAGAGCCAAGCATGCGCGGGGAGAGGGGAGCCACGCGGAAAGCCAGGGACCGGCAGGCACTACTGTGGCCAAACGCGCAGCCCAAAGGCCAGCCAGTCCCCCACCTCCTTCTGCAGGAGGGACGGAGGCCCAGGAAGGGCAGGACGTGTGCAGTCGCACAGCGAGCCAACACCCGGAGGGAAGTGTGTAATGGCGGGGGTCTGTGTGTTTGGCCTCCACCCCTGCCAGGGAGAGACCAGAACGGGGGTGGGCTGAGCACCCCGGGAGCCCTCTGCTCGGCCAGGGAGGCGCCTGGACACCTGCCCTTCCACCTCTCCTCCAGCCCGCACCTGGCTGTGCTTCAGCTCGGGGCAATGGGCCGCCCGGCACACGCCCCCGGGACTGGACCAGTCTCCTGCAACGCAGGCACCGTGAAACACCTGCTCTTTACAACAACCTTTTCCCTTTCTATCTTCAAGTATTAAATCTAACTGGGGAACAGTTAGTAACCTCCTAGTCACCTCTCACTGAATTCCTGGGGCAAAAAAAAAAAGTTTAGATCCCACGCTTTCGATGTTGACATACTATCATGTTGCCGAGATCTGGTCAAAGCAGGAAAAACTACCTCAAGATACCGATTCACTGGGTTCACTTTGTTTCAAAAAAAAATCTAGAAATCACTAGAAGAATCTTGACCTCAATCCCAACTAGCCAGTAAAAGCCTGCTGGGAGCTGCTGGCAAGGGCTCTGTGGGCATGTGCTTTGGAAGGCAGAAAAACCCAGGAGGCCTTTTCCTCGGGGCCCCGAAACAAGACAGAAACACAGAGACTCAAAGACGGGCACGACTAAAAGTAAAGACAGCAGAATCAGCAGGAATCCAGAAAGCCTCTGTGTTTTCCATCTGGTTTCTTTTTGACAGAGAACTAAACTGAGACGTGGCCTTGCTGGGCCTAAGGAGACGTGTGATCACAAACACACACCTTCACCGCCCCAGCCCTGGGAAAGTCCGTCCAGATTGCCCGTGATGTGGTCAGTGCCACGTGAGGTAATCTTCTGGATACTGGGATTTAATAAAGGATATTTTTAAATTTACTTTCACCTGTTTACTGTGGCTATTTGAAAATTTAAAGCATGCATGTGGCTCACACTGTATCTTTACTGACCAGGGCTGGTCCACATCATGAAGGCCGACAGATTCCACTCTGAGACCCAGCCTGGTGGGGAACAGAGCCTTGGGGTTATGCCATGGGCCAAGGGCATGGGGCCCACACCATTCGCCTTCCATAGCACTTTGAGACTCAAACTCTCTCATCTGGGCGTGGTGGCTCACGCCTGTAATCAATCCTAGCACTCTGGGAGGCCGAGGCGGGAGGATCGTTTGAGCTCAGGAGTTAAAGACCAGCCTGAGCAAGGGTGAGACCCCGTCTGTACCAAAAAAAGAATTATCTGGGCATGGTGGCGCATGCCTGTAGTGCCAGCTACTCAGGAGGCTGAGGCAGGAGGATCGCTTGAGCCCAGGAGTTTGAGGTTGCTGTGAGCGAGGCTGGCGCCACAGCACTCTAGCCCGGGCAACAGAGTGAGACTGTCTCAAAAAACCCCCAAAAACAAAAAGATAAATTCTCTCTTTTTTAAATAGGGGCCTCCCTGTCTCCAACCCCTCCACGCTCTGTCAACGTCCAAGGAGAGGCCAACGCTCCTTAAGGCCCAAACGCCGTGGTCGGCTGGCGTCCGCGGTTTCACGCCCTCACTGCCCCTCCCAGATGGGGCGCGGGGCCCTGGACAGCCCCTCCAGACAGCACGCCGGCTCCCGCCAGGCGTCCCCGCCTGGGCCTCGCCCAGCTGGCGCTCACCACCCACCACGCAGCACTCACCCGGCGCCCCGGCCGGGAGGGTCAGAAGCACGGCCAGACCAGCGGGAGAGGGTCGGCTCTGCCCCGCTCCTCACACTGGCCGCCCCCAACGCGGTGGTCCCAGTTCTGCAGACGCGGACGGGCTTTCCCGCCACCTGGGGAAGCTCCGCAGCTCGGCAGAGCGCCGAGAGCCACGGCCAGGCAAGCACCGCAGGAAGCCAGGTGCCAGCCCTGCGCCTGACGGCTCCCCAGGCCACAGCCGAGCCTCCCGTGACGCCGAGAGCCGCGGCCAGGCAAGCACCGC